GATTTGAATGATTCAAACGTCGGCTTGGCTGGTAGTTTATCCCTTATAGATAATCCCGGAACAGTGGAACTGTAGACCATTACAAATTTGATATGCATGGAATTCTCAAAATTTGTCTTCAATGAGAACTCCTCTCCTACACAATCAGTCTTGGTAGCTTTTGTGCTAGCTGATTGGTGCATTTAAGTGTATGTCTGCAGTTGGGTTACTAAGGAGCTCAAGAAGTTGTAGCTCTGATACAGTTCTTCTCAATGTAATTTTCTCCATGCTCGTTACAAAGAAATTTGGATTCTCATTGACCTATACCTGATGGTCTCTCTCTCTTTCTTTTTCAATAATTGGAAATGGTCTAATTTTCATTTCTGAACTGTAAACTAGGTATCATATTGGACTCTGCTTGGTTCAAAACGTTAAATGATGAATGCTTAAATTGGTTCCTGTTCTGATAATTGCTTTTCCCTTTCCTTCCTGCTGTAGATATCTATAGCATTTCCTGATGATGGTGCATGGAAACGCTTTCATAAGCAGCTGCAGCATTTCCCCACGGTACTCTCAAATCTGATGTGAATGCTCCATAGTTCTCAAACACAATGACAACAAGAGTTCTAGGCTTCTCTCTCTTGTTATGCTTTATGCATCATTATCGCATTTGTTTGTGCGTTAGTTGTATATATCCAATGCTTCTTTCTCTGCATTCCTGTTCATTCATACTATTTTACATAACTGTTCAATTATATGCTTTTGATACAAGTGATTTTCCAACTATGGATATACAAACATCATTAATTCATTATACATTGACTGATTGATATGGTGGGTATTGGTTAACTGTCAGATTGTTTGTGCCAAAGTGAGGGAAGGTGAACAGAGAATTGTTCGTCTGAAGGAGGGAGAACCTAAGGGACGTCATGTTGTGATAGTGGATGATCTTGTGCAATCTGGTGGCACCTTAAAAGAATGTCAGGTGAGAAGCTAGATGGTATGTTATTCATCAATTTTGCTATGTGGTATTTGCTAATGCTAAGCAAATGAACATTTGTTCAACCTGTTTGTTTTTCCAAAGTCCAGTGCTTGTCAAATCAGTCTATTTATTCTGTCTCTCCAACACCAAAATGTTACATGTAACACGTATTTTAGTCAGTGGAATGGTCATGGTCTAGTCATGAGTCCAACTGGGTAGTAGCTATTTCAAGAAAGAAACATACAAGGGTAAGAAAATGCACCCCAATGTTTTGGGTTCATAGATTCACGCTCAGTCGAATCATGAATATTTACTTTATATGCTATATAGAGCATAAAATTAGAGGGAATACCAAGACCTGGTGGTGGTGCAGATTCACTTTTTTCTTCTTGTAACATTCTTGATAAGTATTGAAATGCATATGACATTTTTTCTAGAATATAAATACATGAATAAGCATTAGTCCTATAGCTTTAGACTGTGTATAAAATAAAACAGTCCTGCAGACCCACAGTGGAAATACTTTACCTCCCAATTAGACTGCCATGTTTCTTCTCCTTTTTCTCATTTAACATGTCATATTTACCCGTCCTGGGAGTATACAGAAAGTGTTGGCCAAACATGGAGCAGAAAAGATAAGTGCCTATGTGACCCATGGAATTTTTCCAAACAAGTCATGGCAGCGTTTTGAACATGACAAAGGAGGTATGAATTTTTTTTTATTATTTTTTTTGCTAAATTCTATATCTATAAGACTAACTACTCGTGTTTCTTCAAGTATATACCTTAGCCATTCAACATCCTTTTGCATTATGATTCCTCATTCTTTTTCCTTCTCTCATATTGGATGTTGGAACCACTTAAAGTTGCAATACATGCCCTTTTCAATTTGTTATGTGATTTGGTCTTCCTTTCTCCCTTCCATTAAAAATTTTCAGGTAATCCTGGGAATGGGATGGCATACTTTTGGATAACAGACTCGTGCCCATCGACAGTAAGGGCGGTTAAGGGTAAACAACCATTCGAAGTTCTTAGCCTCGCAGCTTCTATAGCTGCTGACCTTCAGATTTAGTTCTTGCACCAAAGCATATTTGGGCAATTCTTTTCATTCTTTGCAACTGCTCAACCCTTGGGAAGATTCAATGTTACTGAGAAGAAAATATGAGTGGATAGAATGCCTCAGCTAGTTGAAGGATAATTGTTTTTTTTTTTTTTTTTTTTTTTTTTTTTTGGTTAGTTGCAGGTTTTTGATAGAATTCAGACTTCTTTCAATTCTTGAGTGGTAGATATTTGACTCAAATTTTCATTGTAAGAAGTGTACATCTTTGATCAGCTTGTGAACAGAAGGAATAATGTATAGTCTAAAGCAACCATCCATACTCAGCTTCACCCAACCTTTAGAGGAGTTATTCCATGAAAGATTTACACACTTCATAGTTAACCACACCAAAGTGGGCATCTTTACCAAAAGATACTTCCACTTCTCGTGCGTAGCTTTTGATCCAGTTGATCCTGGAAGCTCATCTATTTGTTGCACAATTGGCTCACATCTACATAAAACATAATATAGTGGTTGGTTTCCTCACGAATATCTGTTTTGATACATTGAATGTTTATTTTTTTAAAGTTACATTATTTTGTGTATTGAGATTCATTATTTAGTACAATATGTACTAAATAATGAACCTTCAATGCACAAATAATGTACCTTTAGTAAAAATTTATTTATGATCCACAATATAATTTGCTAATTGAGAAGGTAAATTTTTATGTGGACTATGATCCACACAGTGTTATGTGGACCATAAAAAAAATAAATTTTAATATACTAAAAGTATATTATTTGTGTATTGGATGTACATTACACAAAATAATGTATTTTCAATATTCAAATATTGTACTTTTTCTAAATACAATGTATATTTTTAATATACTAAAAGTACATTATTTGTGTATTGAATGTACATTAGTTGTTAATGTAGTATACAAAATAATGTACTTTCACTACTCAAATAATATACTTTATGTATATGGAAATAATGTACTTTTTATTTGTTGTCTACACAGCTATGTGGCAATCATTATTGGTGGATTTGTGTGGACCACGATCTAAAAACACATAAAGTATATTATTTTAACCCATAAAAATATTATTTTAATACATAAAGTACATTATTCTAACTCATAAAATATATTATTTTACTCCAGAAATTTTATTATTCTAACACATAAAGTACATTTTACATTATTCTAACTCATAAAATACATTATTCTAACACATAAAATACATTATTCTTACACATAAAATACATTATCTTACCCCAGAAATTTTATTATTCTCACTCATATAAAGTACATTATTCTAACTCATAAAATACATTATCTTATCCCATAATGTTCATTATTCTAATATGCGCGCGGAGCAAAGAATTTTTGTTAAACATCAAAATGACGTCGTTTTAGACCGTGATTCACAAGATAATTTGCCATGGACTATAGTCCATGCAATAACAAGGCAAATTATTCTTTGAACCTGAGTAAAAATACACAATTTATATACTGAATGTTCACAATTTACATGCTGAATATTCACAATTTTTATATACTAAATATTCACAATTTACATATTGAATGTTCATAATTTTATATACTGAATGTTCGCAATATAAATTGTGAACATTCAATATAGAAATATGCCAATAACGACTCAATTGAGAAGGCAAATTATGCTGTGTTTTGCATCAAAACGCGCGTCCTACTTAAAAAAAAATCAGTTTCGATTCCCAGCAACAACATTATGTTGTTCATTTTTTAGTTCATTCATTCTGAATTTTTAGTTATGAAATTATGGATGTGTAGGTATGCAATTCTGGATTTATAGTTATGAAATTATGGATGTGTAGGTATGCAATTCTGGATTTATAGTTATGAAATTATGGATGTGTAATTATGCACGGTGTAGTTATGCAATTCTAGATTTTATAGTTATGAAGTTATGGATGTATAGTTATGCAATTATGGATGTGTAATTATGCAATTCTGGATTTATAGTTATGAAATTATGGATGTGTAGTTATGTAATTCTGGATGTATACTTATGAAATTATGGATGTGTAGTTATGCAATTCTGATTTTTTTTTTTTTTTTTTTTTTTTAAGTTAGACGTCAAAACGACGTCGTTTTTCCATCCGTATGCACCATGCATGGTGCATACGGATACACAGCATAACGATTAAATTGAGAAGATATAGGCCTTAATTCGGGTTCTACACTAAATACTCACGCAAATTATGTTGTGGACTCGTGTCCACAATGCATCATGGACACGAGTCCAAAACGATGTCGTTTTCAGGAAAAACGCGGCATTTCAGTTAAACAAAATTGATTTTGAATGTACAGTTATGGAATTATGAATGTACAGTTATGGAGCTATGAATGTACAATTATGAAATTATGAATGTAAGTTATGAAATTATGAATACAGAGCTCTAACATTATGAACTTACAATTATGAACATATAGTAATAAAATTATGAATATAGAGATCTAAAATTGTGAACATAGAGCTTCGAAAATTATGAATGTACAGTTAGGGAATTATGAATGTACAATTATAGAATTATGAATGTACAGTTATGGAATTATGAATGTACAATTATGAAATTATGAACACAGAGCTCCGACATTATGAACTTACAATATGAACATACAGTGATAAAATTATGAACATAGAGCTCTAAAATTGTGAACATAGAGCTTCGAAAATTATGAATGTACAGTTATAGAATTATAAATGTACAGTTATGAAATTATGAATGTACAATTATGGAATTATGAACACAGAGCTCTGACATTATGAATATATAGTGATAAAATTATGACATATACTCATATAACGAAACGGTCTGAAATTTTACAAAAAAAAAAAAAATTGGAAGATAACGGTGCCACTAACGGCACCGTTACCGTGTCCACATTGCATGCTGGATACAGGTCCATATCATTACGATTGAAATACACATTATTGGGCTAAGTTCCAGGAATAGGCCCAATTGTACAGATAGCCACATACAGCTCAGCTTCGGTTAAGATCGCATCTCATGCTCTGCCGGAGCTCCACTCCGATCTTTCTCAAAACTCACCAATCCATTGCCATATGGTCAATATGGTCTAGTTGAGACTTGAGAAGACTGTTTTCTACAACATTTTCTGCTGTAATCTCTCGTAATTGCTATACCGGCACAACATCCGCAGATCTGATCGCGAATCTCGGTCGGTGTAGCCGTTCGATCCACGATCTCCGGCTGATTTCCAAATCCAGCCGCCGATAATGGCCGGAGCGGCCTCGGCGCTATTCCTCTTGGACGTCAAGGGCCGTGTACTTGTGTGGCGAGACTATCGTGGCGATGTCTCCGCCACTCAAGCCGAACGCTTCTTCACCAAGCTTCTCGAGAACGAGGTTTTTTCTTCATTTTAAACAAAATTCCATCTCTTCTAGATATTAAAACGTTTAGTTAACCTTAAACATTAGGATGAGTTTAGTTCGCCACTGTTCCTTGATCGAGTAAAGTTAGCAATGGGAAATTTACTTTTTAAAGGATGGTCTCTAGACACTAGAAGTTTTACTTATTTTCCTTGGTTTTTGCTGGTGTTTAAGGAAACTTAAGTAGTTATACATTTAAATGATTTCATATACTAATCTTGTGTTTTCTATCGTCAATATTGTTATTGATCTTTGCTGTCACTTCCTATAAATATTTTGCGTAATTCAGTAATTATTAGTGGACTGGGAGCTGGAGATTTTACAATTTCCTTTGAAATTTGATTTGGTTTCAGGGTGATCCTCAAGATCCTGTTGCGTATGATAGCGGTGTTACATATATGTTTATCCAGCATAACAATGTGTACCTCATGATTGCATCAAGGCAGAACTGCAATGCTGCTAGTTTGCTTCTGTTTCTACACCGTGTAGTTGATGTAAGGACTATTGGAGATTTGGAGATGGGATATCAACTTTAGTTTTATCTGCTCAAATTTCCATTTTAACTTTCATTTAATTGTAGGCCATCATTCTTTTATAATATTCATTACAGGTGTTTAAGCATTATTTTGAAGAGTTAGAAGAAGAATCTCTGAGAGACAATTTTGTTGTTGTGGTATGAGGAAATGTTCAAATCTCTAATTGAGTCTTTTCATGTACCTATCAAAATTTTGATTACAATTGGCTACATGTGGTCATTGATCTGAAAATAGAAAGACTTCTTGTGGTTAAGATGCTACTTTTATCTTTTTTGCAGTATGAGTTGCTTGATGAAATCATGGACTTTGGGTATCCTCAATTTACTGAAGCCAAAATTCTTAGTGAATTTATCAAGACTGATGCTTATAGGATGGAGGTTACGCAAAGGCCTCCCATGGCGGTTACCAATGCAGTATCATGGCGCAGTGAAGGAATAAATTACAAGAAAAATGAAGTAGGTTTCTCTATTTAATCTGAAATGATTTCTCTTAAGCCACTGGAATCTAAGGAAATGTTCTATGTATCCAGGTATTTTTAGATGTTGTGGAAAGTGTTAACATTCTTGTCAATAGTAATGGACAAATAGTGCGGTCAGATGTTGTCGGTGCATTAAAGATGAGGACATATTTGAGGTGTGTTTTTTCCTGCTGAATTTTAGTTCTCCATATTCTATGCTGGAAAAGGCATGCTCGGTAATTGTTTTCTTGGGGCCACTGCTAATCTTTTATATCACCAGATATGTGTACCAGTACCTGTCAAGTAAATTACTCCGTAGTGTGTTCCTTTCTACTCCTTTGAACCCTTTGTTTTATTTTGTGGTGTGGGCTACCTTCCCAATTGCTGTTTACATAGGCAATCATAATAAGAGTCGGTGGATCTTATGAATATTTTTTGCTTTTAATTTATTCTATTTTTGTTTGAACTGTGTTCTATTTGGTTTTTGTGAAGGAATTTTGTCTGTTTAAAGTGAGAAATTGAGGCTGACTGGACATGTTATCTTGTTGTTCCTGCCCATTATTTGAAGAACCCTGCTTTTTCAAAATTCAAATAAGTTCCAGAGTTTTCTCTGTTCTAAACTTCTGAAAATATGCACCCAGTACATGAATGAGTTAAACAGTCTTCTTAGAGGCAAAATATTACCTTTGAACTTGTTCTTGAAAATTTGTCCCATTGACTATTATAAAAGACAGTTTGTATGTTTGGATCAGTTAATTATCTAAGAAAATGGGTCCTTTGCTCCATTAAATTTATTTAATGTTGTGAACTTTTTGCAACCAAAGCTTTTATCCCAGGGACAGATCCCTGTTTATGATGTTGTTGCTTCACTTTTGTTTGTTTGTTTTTTTGTTTTGTTTTGTTTTTTTGTTTTGTTTTGTTTTTTTTTGTTTTTTTTTTTTGTTTTTTTTGTTTTTTTGTTTTTGTTTTTTTTTTTTTTTAATTTCAATTCAATGAGCTTGGCCTGAGAAAGGAAAATAAAGAAATACCTAGTCTACATGTGTTATATTGGTATATTGTCAACCTTCCAGTATTGTGCTATCTTTTTCAGTGGTAATTTTGGCCAAATTATTAACCACTACTGTTTCTAAACATGCAGTGGTATGCCCGAGTGTAAACTTGGTCTGAATGACAGAGTTTTACTGGAGGCTCAAGGACGATCTACTAAGGGAAAAGCCATTGATTTAGATGACATCAAGTTTCATCAGTATGTACTAAATGATGGATAGTTTAGTTATTATGTGTAATGCTTTCTTCAACTGATACAATGTGCTAGTTGATAAGTTTAATTCCGTGATTCCTGAAAGGAACTTTACTGGGGAAAAAAGTGAATGGAAAGAGAGAATGAATAACAACTGTTTTTCTAGCAACTATTGACTTCATTAAATTTTCTTTTTTAACTAAACGCCATTATCATTATCATTTTTTTTTATATTATTATTATTATTATTATTATTATTATTATTATTATTATTATTATTATTTTGTTAAACTAGTGGAGCTCTATATTTTACATCTTTTGTTGAACTCAACAACAACTAAAAGACTATTCTTTTTTAGTATAATCAATTTTGAGCACCTCTCTACCCTTTACATTTGTTCCCTTATTCAATTTCCTAATAATTTCTACTTCAAATCCAGATGTGTTCGCTTGGCCCGATTTGAAAATGATCGAACAATATCCTTCATACCTCCTGATGGATCTTTTGATCTCATGACCTACAGACTCACTACTCAGGTCTGTCATATGAGGCCTTGGTTTTGAATGTGATCTTTCATTCAATCATATATTTATGTATATATGTGTATGTGTGCATATACTAACAATACTAAAAGTGTTAGAATGCTCATATTGTTCTTTTGCCAACAGGTAAAGCCTTTGATATGGGTAGAAGCTCAAGTGGAAAGACACTCTAGGAGCCGCATAGAATTTATGGTGAAAGCACGGAGCCAATTTAAAGAACGCAGGTATATTTATCATTTATAAGTAGTTGATGCATAGCCATAACTAAGAGCCTTGCAACGCCATATTCTTCATTCTTGCTGACTTAAGTACTAAATATCTGGTCACGAGCTACTTGTTTTTTTTTTTCAGCACTGCAGGTAATGTTGAGATTGAGGTACCTGTACCAGTTGATGCTACTAATCCAAATGTCCGCACATCCATGGGATCATCTACTTATGCTCCTGAAAAGGATGCATTGATTTGGAAAATCAAATCTTTTCCAGGTGGCAAGGTAAGAACAAATATCAACTAGTAGCTATCTTCGTTTCAATCGTTGACCGTTTTGGTTAGTTCAATAAATAACACATGCAAATTCCATTTTTCTTTTCTAGGAATATATGCTGAGAGCAGAGTTTCGTCTTCCCAGTATTACCTCTGAGGAAACAACCCCTGAAAGAAAAGCTCCTATAAGGGTGAAGTTTGAAATACCATATTTTACTGTTTCAGGAATACAAGTAAGCCCTTTTCCTAATTAGGAGTTTGGTACTGTTTTAATTACTTAAAGTGCTTTCTACACGATGCATGGTGGTGACCTAATGTAATGTCGTTTTGTATATGGTCAGCTTTGTGTCTAGTATTATTTATTTGATATTAGTGGAGTGCTGGTTGGTTAGGGAGGAAAATGAGTGTGGGTGTCAGATGTCAGCCAGGTGGAGCAGCAGTTTAGATGTGTAGGATCTGCATCCTGCGGGTTTGTTGAATGATGTAGTGAACCAGTTGACTGGAGCTTGGAATGTGAGGCAAGGGGTATTTGAGAAAGCAGGGAGCATCATATCTTGTGTAATTTCTACTCAAGGTTGGACTGTTATTAGGAACTGAAGTTAGGTCTAAAGTTTAAAGATCACGACCGTAGTATGTTTGCTAACTTATGAATTGTGTGTGGGAGAAGTAATTTGACTTTTCATTGGGATGGAGGGCCAGGGGGTTAGCTAGATTTAACCATGTCTGTCAGAAATATAAACAGTGGGTTTTTATTTTTTATTTTTACCTCTGAACATTTGGCTTGAATCCTATTGAGATAGATAATGTATGTGAAAACATCATACCAAATCTTGGGTTATCATCATTTTTATTTTATTTTTGTGTTTAATTAAGGGAACACTTCTAGACTGTATGTTAATGAATTTTGTTTTGGCCATGCTTCTATAGTAATGCTTCACTGGATTACAAGTTGATATGACATTTTCCCTGAGGATTTATACTATTCTGGGATCTTGTAGGTTCGATATTTGAAGATCATTGAAAAAAGTGGGTACCAGGCTCTTCCTTGGGTGAGATATATCACTATGGCTGGCGAATACGAGTTAAGACTGATGTAAAAGCTGGCTGGTCCCTCCCTTTGTTGTTACCGGAGCCATTGAAGTTTTTGTATAACATTTTTAATCGGACTGAGCTGCCTCCTGAAATTAATGGTTGTTGTGATGGTTTTTAATGAAACAATATAATCTCTTGCACATTTTTTTTTCTCTTCTAGTTTTTTAATTGTACCGATACATTTAAGGGTTGTGTCAAAGGAGTTTTGTTGCTTGTAACAAAACTAGTATGCGTTACCAAAGGCCATACATGTAAGGGTTGTTATATTCTGATCGAGTCTTCCTTTCCAATATGTTACGTTGGCTATCTATTTTGATTACATTACATTGAATAATTCATATTTGACAGTGAGTTTTGATTTTAGCTTATTAATCCGCAGGAAATTCCAAAATTTCAGACGATAAATCATGATGAGGGTAAGAATTTGATGTACCGTTGATTTATAGCTTCTAATGGTCAAATATTAAATCATTAATTTTGGCATTAGAATTAATCCAGCTGCGCCTATTTTTGGTAATAAATTTTGACTTTTACTCATTGCCAGTTTTCTATTTTCATTCGTTTATCGTTTTGCAGCATAAATATTAAATAGTACGGAGTAGTAAAATAGCTACAAGTTGAAAGTCTCATCTTGGTTGTGTTGCACTTACACATCTAATGTAAATGTCTAAGTTGGAAAGAACAAAAGGAAAATACTTTGGGGTTTGTAGGAGCATGTTAACGCCACTAACTACTATACAATTTTAAAATATTTTTTCTTTAATTTTTTCTTTTTATTGATTTGTATTTGCATAAATAGATCAGAGGTGAACCCGATTTTTTATTTCCTTTTAATATACGGATTCTTTAATTTAAGCCATTTTCTATATCAACCTTAATAAATTTCCATTAATTCTTCAATTTGGATCACACAATAATGCAGGGTGACCCTCCCACATTTTCTTCTGCCAGCACAATATAACATAATAAAACGAGAAACACATGTAGATACAAACTATATCAATAATCTTGTGAGAAATTAAACATTGATCAACCGATAACGTATGGTATTAGATGTTAGTATAATAGTATGTATGAGTAGGCATATATGGTGCTAATATGCAGTAACAGTTTGCTGGAGATTGGATAGCCTTTGCAAAAGGATATTGAAGTCATCTTCATTGCCCAGCATACTTATCCTAACAAATTTTGGGTCAGCCCCAAATTTGGTTCCACTTCTTGTCAAAATATTGTGCCCTCTCAAAAGCTTCTCACAATCCTCTTCTCTTCCCTTGCACATAATCCATGCAAAAGCTGTTCAAACACATACATACATACAACCATTTCAACATAGATTTAAAATGTTGCTGGCAAGACTAGAAAAATGTTTTTTCAACTCATTCACATAGCATTTCATTGAAAAATATAATATTGTAAAAGTAATGGATTCTATATATATATTACCAGGGAGTGTTTGAGTGAAGTCTTTGGCAAAACGACAGTAGTGGATGGGATATTTCTGGAGAGTGAAGAGATGAGAAACCTTTACAACTTGTCTCAACTTTTGCCATCTTTGATACAAGAGGGTGTGGGTATATTGAAAGAAGTTTTGGATTTGAGGATTGGAGCAGCTATCTGAGACCACTCCCAAGATCTTTGCAGCCCTGAGCTGAGATTCCTTTGACACCCCAATACTGCTTATCTCAATGAACTTTGTCATCTTCTTTGCCACTTCTTTGTTCTTTACAATACCCCAACTGCATATATAGTGTGATATATACAAGGTAAAAGTAGTAATTTAGGATAGTTGTTCTTAATGGACCAATAAAGCTAAGAGAAGATTTTACTTAGACTCTGTTTGTTAAATGGTTGTTAGCTGATAGCTGTTTGCTGATTGGGTTAGAGGGTATGACTAGTTGATAACATTAGCTGATGGTAAAAGACATTTGGTAAATTAGCTGTTAGCTGATAGCTGTTTGGTATAATTTCTTTTCTCAAAAAGCTAATTGAAAAAGTTGCTTTGAACAGCTTTTTGAATTTTAGCATTTTAGAATTACAAAAAGCTGATTAACTAAACACTTCTATTGAATTTTTTTAACCAAGTCAAACAGCTAATAGTAGTCAAATAAGTCAAAATTGACGGATAAGTTAGCTATTTTAGGAAACAGGATCTTACCCAATTCTTGATCCAGCATGACCAGTGCATTTAGAGACAGTAAATAACATAAGATGATGGTTGGCTGGGGAGGTAATTGCAGTGTACTGTGGCCAGTAATAAGCTAGATCATGAACAACACTTCCTCTTTCTTCACCTTTATTATTATTCAACTGTACCACTGCTCTTCTTAAAACCCCATCTGGATTATTTGGTGATGTTACTAGCTCAATATAGGCTCCATCTTTCTCAAATTCCCTTGCATCTCCTTCCCATTTGTACATCCCTGACTGTAAAAACTCTGTCATCTCTGGATATGACTGCATGCAATTCAACTACATATGTTAGATAGTTAGTTGCGTATATGCCTAGAGGAATATAGAAGTAGAAAAACCGAGCAGGTAAAAAGTACCACTACTCAATCAAGTTTGGTGCCGACTCAACCTAGTTCGGTGCTAACTAGGCGCCTAGTCAGCCGGTTAGTAGGCCAGCCAATTAAAAGCCGCTTAGGGCTGAAATCGCCTCGACCTAGGTGTGCCTAGTCCGATTTTTACAACAATGAATAATACTAATAATATAGAATCACATGCGTTAATTATATTGTGATAACAATTGATGCATTTTGAAGTTAATCATGTGATTAGTGTGAAATAATATAATAAAATTAAATGCAATGCAATATTAATGTTTCGCATCTTTGTATCCCATGTTACTATATGCTTAGTTTCCAAGGTCGGAAAAGGACAATTAATTAATTAATATAACCAACGTATTACGCTGCAACGTTTGCTACGCCCAAATGAAACATTATGTTGCATTGCATGTACCTAATGAATCAAGTTTTGTGCCATGCACTCTTGCATTATATTACACTCATCATAAAAATATTGAGAATTTTTATTTATTTATTTATTTATTTTTGCATCTTTTACCAGAAAACATGTTCTTACTTCACTGAAAATTATAGAATTTTTGACCACTCTTAAATCAAGACGAAAGTCTTGTTCCGACCACTTTTGGTATCCGGAAAAACCTTTATTGTTATTTCCGACCACTTTTTACTTTCGATTTAAGATCACTTTCAGGTGGTCGGAAATTCTATAACTTTTCAGCTGTGCTTTATGTGTGTCCACATATATATAGTGTCCACATATATATACATATATAGAAGATCATATATATGAAAACAATGTCTCAAGTAAAAATTGCAGACTAATATGCAAGCTAAGTTGCAGGCCGAGGAAAAAGACAGTGACAATTTGATAAATATTGCAAATATAATTAAAGTAGGTTTTAAATATTAAAAACATATATATATATATATATATATATATATATATATATATATATATATATATATATACCGAGTAGTAAGGAGCTGCGCAAACAACACTGATAGGGCGAGGATGGTGATCGGAATGATGAGAAGAAAGAGCGTAAAGGGCGGCCTGGATAAGCTGGGAGGAGCCGTTTCCGACCACGATATAGTCGTCGTGATTGTCCACCGCCGCATTTCCGACCACAGTATGCAACCTCCTTATCTCTTCCTCAAGCTTCGGCTCCATGAACCAACACACCTTGTTTACGTCGGAAAAGTAGCTCAGATGCTCATCTCCGGCGAACGTTATCGCACAACTCTTCCCCATCTTTCTCCAGTACGACTCGTACATTGCCGGATCTCCACTATACATTATTCAACACACAAATTTAATTATTATAAAATTCTGATAGTTGAATTACACATTTATGTTTATATATTATATGTAACATGTAAATCATAGGGCCGGAGCTGTTTACCAAAATGAAAAAATGGAAGATTTTCTAAAAATACAGAGAATTGAAAGAGGATTTTCCATCTCCATTCTTCAATTTTTGTATGATTTTGTAGAAAACAAAACCAGAGAGTAATGACCCTATAGTCTCTTTTTTTTAAGGGTGATGTAGAGATTCACCTATGACCTTTGACATGGAGTTGACTCTGATATTAAATTAAAGCATGTGTTTCATTTCAATTAAAAACTTAAGTTGATAGTTGGATTGCATATACGCTCAGCAAATTAAATAAAAACAATGATGACTTACTGATCAAGATTGATAACCTTGCTGTAGTCGAGATTTTGGCCAGTGGCGGCGTTTTGTGTTGTGTGGTGAGAAATGGTATTTGCAGTAGTAGATGAGATTGGGGAGTGTTTGGCCACAAAGGTTGCCTCTGTTCCACACATGATCATCTATCTGATCTTAATTAATCAATAATCACACTTAATTAGCTTCGCTTCGATCTCTAACACTTCTCGCTCTAAGAACCTAGCCAATTTGTATGTATATATGTTATAAATAAAGAAGATGTCTTTATTGTCTGTAGCATATCGATCTTCTATGCTTCTCTATTTATAGTGTAGGAGACACAAAACCTCATGCATTAAAAATCTGTATCTGAGCCTTACAATTATTTTTTATTTTTCATTTTTTGGATTTTTTAATCTTTTATTCGTTTCATCTCCAGCCAATAAAACCGTATGTAAAAACTAAGGATGATCATAGTTCAGTTCGAATTGATCGAAACCAAAATCATAATTATAGGAATGGTTTCTGATTTATTAAAATCATATCAGAGATCGGAATCGCCAAGTATACACATTTGACTCCTAACAAGAGCAATACCTATTGACCTTCTTGGTTTGAGCCGGTCAATAGTGACAGAGAGTTTCTTTGTCACCCTAAAAAGAATTACAATATATATATATATATATATATATATATATATATATATATATATATATATATATATATATATATATATATATTACACATTCTTTAAGAAGTTTGTGTATGTAAACAAGAATTTGGACATTCTTTTTGGAACCTGGGAATACATATAAGTACTTTTTTTTGGGTACATTTAACAATAATGACGATTAAATTAAAGACTTCGGCTATAAGCTAAACTATAAATTCTTTAAGGTTACTACAATGGCAATTTTCAATTCTCATACAAATTACAGTTAATTTTAATTTTAGTCTTTAACAATCGTGATTTAAAAAAAAAAAATTAGTTCAAAATCAATTACTATATATTGATTTCTGTTTATTAAATAGACCACTTTTAATCATTCATTAAACCTATAAATGACATATTTCATGATTAAAAGTAACATTTTTAATAATTGATTGATGGACCTATAGATCCTGATCTTGGATTAGAAAAACATAAATTGGACTTTGAATGACAAACGTTGGCCAATATAAGCTCGGATGCATGAACCAATAGTAAAACCGTGTTGCCTGAATAAAAATTAAGAGGTACAGTCGTACAGAATTAATTATATTTGTAAAATACAGAATTGCATAACACAAGACACATACACATGTTATATATTTACTTACTTTTTAGTGTGAAATTGTTTTAAAACATGAATTGAATAGGACAAAAATCAACTGTAAACCTGTCTCTCTTGTCATTTCTTTAGTTCTGCTCCAGTGAATAGAAGATAAGATCTTCATGAAGCAGAGTTGCCAGGCCATGTGCTGTACCATTGACTCTAGTATAGGTTTGACTAAGATCCAAAAAGACAAGGAAATTTATTTTTATTTTTTTTTTGGTTTCATTAAACTGATGGATTTTCCCATTATATTTAAGATTTAAGAATCTGGTTGTTTTTTGGTCGTTATGCTCCTTGGTCGGCGCATCTATTGTATGAATCATGAATGACAATACCCTACAAATATGTATGGTACTGCTCGATCTGGATACAAGGCAATTAAAAGTCGCAAAGGGAAGTTCATTGAATTTCTTTCTTAGTGAATCACCTCTGAAACCATCTTACAAATTAGGTGTAGTATTTATACTAGAAAATATTTGTTAGTTATAAGGTGGGACGTTATATTTTTGGGAGAAAATATAATACTTTTAAATCAAAATGTAAAAGTATTATATTTGTCTGAGTTAATTTCATTTTAGTCCTTAATTTATAGGTACTAGTCTACTTTTAGTTTTTTTTTTTTTTTTTTTTTTTTTTTTTTTTTTTTTTTCAGAACATCCATTTTGGTCCAAGTATTATTGTAGCATTATCATTTTTTGGCCCTCTATCAACAAATCAGTTTAAATGCCATTAAATACAAGAGCATTTTGGTCTTCAATTATATTTTTTTAAAAAAATAAACATAAGAATATAGCGGGTCAACTCACTTTGTATAATACTAAAAAAAGATCGAAATGTCCTTGAATTTAACAACATTTCAAAGATTTTATTGATGGAGAACCAAAAATGATCATACCACAATAATACTATGACCAAAGGAGATGTTCTGATAAAAATGGACTAAAAGTGGGCTACCACCTATAAATGTAGAACCGAAAATGGAATTAACTCTGTTTTTCTTCAAAAATATTATACTTTTCTTTATAAATGACAAACACTTTATTTCTAATTAATATTGCATTTTCCAATATAAGTATTACATTTTCATCTCGATCCGACCCGTATCAATGTATCATAGACTCACACAAATTTTAAATTTGCCTCTCTTTTTTGGTACATTTCAAGTAATATGAATAAACTTTGTTATGAATTCTTAATGAGGCTCATTGCAAGCTAAATATCTACATTAGACTGACCAATTACTCATTGAGCTATCAATACATTCTCATCTCTTTAATCCCTTACTTCGTAGTATAATTTTAAATCCTTACCTTTAGTCTAATTTAAACCATAAATTCGTATTAACGTCGAACAATAATAACCAAATTCATTTTTTAATTGTAACTTTAAACTAAAACTATATTTGAAGTAAGATTTATTCGGTAGTTATTATAAAATTGATAAATTTCAGTTGACCAATAATTATTATGATTTTGCCAATAAATAAAATAAAATAAAAGCTTAGGGAGAAGCTAAGGGTCAATGGGACATGTATATGAATTGTTAATGTTTTCATGGTCGGAGTTTGATTGAATGATGAGGTGATGATAGTCATGTGAAGTTGATGATGAATGCATGTGCTTCTCATGATAATGCATGTGTAAGGAGGCCGCCTATAAAATCCATGCACCCAATACAATTTGTTTAATTTTCACGAAATTTTCCACTAATAAAAAACATTATTTTAATAATATAAAGTTTTATATTTTAAATTTTACTTTTTACTATTAACAATTATGTTGTTGTATATTTTCATAACTTCTCAATACAAAATAAAGTCAAAGTTCAATAATCTCCCTAAAAAATTAAAGTAAAAAAAAATAAAAAATTCTATATTATATTGTTGTGTATGTATTTTTTTTTTCTTTTACAACTATTTATCTCCAATTACATTAAAAATATGTGAATCATTTATTTATTTAAAAATATAAGTACATCATCATTATATTTTTCACACACAAAATCAAATAAAAAACCAATCAATATGTTATAATATAGGATATGTGTTAATATAGTTTAATTTGCAAAATTTTAAGAACTCTTATGTGTCACATTATATTCCTATTGTTTGATACTATATTACATTATTATTATCAAACTAATATTAAATAGTGATCCCTTCAACAAAAAAAAATAATATTAAATAGTGATGTGAATTGAACCTTTTGTATAATTGCTTATGTATTTAATCATTCAAAATAAAATTAGAATATATTCAATACAAAAGTTATAGAACGTTGAGGTGGGCCTTCTATATTCTCTTAAAAACTTTTAATGAGTAAAGATATTCTATTATGTATTTTCAGTATTGAACAACAGTTTAATATAGCGTCTCGTACTTTTCATTACATTTTTTTTGAACTACCAACAAAGAAATTCATTAATCAACCAAAACTAAATGTTGAATATAGTGAGGAATAGAAGAGTTCCACACTAAGGGACCAGACCGAGAACTTGACGCTCTAGCTATAGCGTGAGCACGTACGTTCGTTGATCTATTAATAAAATTGATGTGCACGTAATCGGCGTGTCTAAAGAGAGACCAACACCTTCTCAAAATACAACTTAATTGCATAAGAAAAGTCCGGAGATGGGTCATTCAAGAACTGACATACCAATAAACAATCAATCTCAATAATCACATTACGCCAAGTAGGGGAATATTACTTTGAGTTTCTTAATTGCGACCATAATATAGTGAAAGTTGTGTTTAGTGGTGATGGAGTGGAGTGTGAGAGGATATCCTCACACGGGATATCATCTCAAGGAATGGATCAGACTGAAAAGGAGTTGAATAATAGGTGGTTAAGCACGACAGTGTAGAGTGTTTGTAAGCTAATTCAAATGGTATAGTGAGAATCATGCAAAAACATTACAGACACAAAATAAAAGGCAAGTAAGAGACACACTAATATAACAAGTATCAAACAAATATAAAGGTAGAGATCGGGCTTGGACCTAGTCACTTTTGTATAGATGTTATAGTGTGTCCTAGGATAGAGAACATGTAATGCTTTAACAAGGGAACTAGAGTGACGCTACTAAGCGCCAATGCCACTCTCGTACACATTGGACTATCAATTAGCTTTAAGTCTCATTCTCATGGTAACTAAAACTAGTTGAAGAAATTCATCAAATATGTAATGTTTAGCACCTTCTAACTCCTTTTTTCTCAAAGCAAAATTGGACTAGTGAAATGTATGGCTATGGTGTTGTCTTATTCTCATAGTAGTAACACATATCCATGTTCTTCTTGTATAATTAGACCCAAATTATGCAAGAGTTCATACAAATCACCAAGCTCACAACTTAGAACCATCTTTGCATCATTTGACTTCTCACATTGCAATTCAATTCACATAGCATAACAAAAGAACTCAATCTAAATACCTAGATGAATCTAACTACTTATACTTGGAATTGAAATACAAGCATGAATTGAAATGGAAGTCATTACAATAACAATTGAACTAAAGAAAATGTGAGTAAGAAAGACTTAGCTTTGATGAAGAGAAATTGAAGATGCAATTTTGAAATTAATTAAAAGTAAAGTTGAATTAAAAGTTAGAAATTACTTCAAATCTTTATCAAATGTGGAATAATTACAAAGAGAAATGTTGTGGAGAGGTTTTCCCCTAAGAAAAACATAGAGAGAGAATGTAAAAATAAAAAGTGATATGAAAATAATCATCAAGTCACATTTATACCACCAAATTTGTGCAAAATGAGCAAATCTTAACTTTCTGGACGCGTTCTAATGGTCTACCTCACACCGGTGAGCTCCACCTATGAGCTTTGATCATAGCTTGCATGTTCATTTACTCACGGTGATAGTGACCATGTACTCTGTGCAGTAGTTTTGGTTTCTAGTCCGAATTAGACTTTGCGGTCCTCATATAAGTTGTAGCTCATTCAATTATCTTTCCAATGCCATTTGAATCACTTGATTTGGGCATTCATATGTTGAGATATAGTTCACTTATCGTGATAGAATCGGTTGAAGAGGCAAGCAATACGGGCCAATTAAATATCTTAGAAATCAAAGTTCTTGATAGGTGAGGCCCAACCAATTGCTGCAACTCTCTCGTCTCCTACATTTGCTTCAATACTCCACAAGGTCGATGAACTCGCAACAGATGTTGGGCAATTAGATGCAATTGGTGACTTCAACATCAAAGAATAAATTTTAAGCTTGAATGGGTTTGGCAGTGGCATTGACTTCAGTGGAGTAAGTATTCATGTTCTACATAATGTTGGCTCTGTTGCTCCATGGCAACATGTATGTGGATTAAATCCACGTTTATGCAGCAAAAGGCTTCATGAAATTATAAAATCAAGAAAATTTTCTCTATATTAATTATGATGTTCTCTAGCTCGCATATGAAGATTTGTTATGAACATTTCATGTGGTGTGGGGTCTTCTGGATCAAGAAAGTTTAATTTGTTTCATCAAATTCTCCATTTTACTTCTGGGAATGAATAAAGTATGTAGACCCCAAAAACAATGTGATTGATTAACAATTTTGTGTTCTTGATGCATTAATTTCACTACATAAATGATAAAGATTGGTTAACCAAAAGGTGATGTTTAATTGAACAAATTGACTGTAGGCGGACTTCAAGCGGTGCTTAGAGAACTTTTGGCAACTCATCAATGGTTGGAATTCTTACACTATGCACCTGAATTTCGATCAATGAAGATATGATAACTTCTTGCTCGTTTGTTTTGTGTCTCAATTTGTTTGATTTCCCGTCTTTTTGGAAGGTTCTGATAAATGACACAGTATCTTTTAAAAGTGAAATTATTTTCTAAACCATCTTACATCTTACATCTTACAATCTAATTAGTTTTGTTACATTAAAAAAATAGATGCATGAAATCCTTAAGTTGATTCTCTTATACTAATATTTATAACATTGATCCCCTCATTTTAGCCATTGATCATCTGGAAGAGCATTGCATTTACTTCTTCCGGATGGAGCACTTTCGGCGATAGTTGGTCAGGAAATTGGATGACATGATCAAATGTGATACAAATTACATAGTCATGTACCTAATTAGAAACTTTTAATAGTTAAGGATCGAATGTGATTTATGTATAATAGTTAAGAGACCAAAAGTGAAATTTTTTCTATTTTTTGTTAGATTTTATTTTATTTTATTTTTTTGCCAGGGAAGAGGGTTAAAAAAAAAAGAAAAAAGGAAAGGGAAAAAAATGATGTTAGTTATTGTTTACGCACTTGTTGGGCTCTTGGTATGTGAAACACACACCAACCACTTGCTTTATTTTTATTTTTTTTCTGCAAGGCCCAACAAAAAAAAAAAAAAAAAAAAAAAAAAACCATAGAGCAACCAATAGTTATACCGTGGGCCCTGATCCTATATAATGTTGTTTTGAACTTTAATTTTAATGGAGACCATTTGTTGTTCAGTTCGCATTATAGAGGATTTTTTTTTGTTTGTAAAGTATGTGTATGTATATCATATTATGCGTTTCTGTACATCATGTTACGAAGTAAAAATTCTGTACTTGAAATTGATTAGTAGTTGTATAACACAAAACATATTGTGCGTCTTATTTTGTGAATTTATGTCTTGTATTATGTAATTATGTGCCTATATTACATAAATCAGATCTGAAAATAAGTAAAATAGAAAACATGTGTATGTATATCGTGTTATGCGTTTCTGTACATCATGTTACGAAATTCTGTACATTAAAAGTAAGGATTCTGTACATAGAATTAATTAAAATTTTGTGTTGAAACATGAAAAACGAGAAGTTACGGAATCTGTGAAAACTTAAACATCAAACAATGTTTTTTCTATCTTTCAAATTGTGAACATTCAGTATGTAAATTGTGTATTTTTGACTCGGATCCACCTTGCAAGGTGGACCCGGGTCCACAGAATAATCTTCCCCCATGACAAATTATATTATGGATCATGGCCACAGAAAAATATTCATTTTTAGTATACTGACAATTCATTTTTAATATATTGAAGGTTCATTTATAAATAGTTTTTCAAATATTAAACTTTTAGTACACAAAAAATAAATATTTAATGTATTAAAAATAAAAATTTAGTAAATTAAAAATAAATTTTATGTCAATAGTTTGCCTTACAAAGTAAATCATGATCCATTGTCAAATGATTGCTCTCTCTACTCCCTACCCTCTCTATTTTCCACTTCATCAAAAAGTCATTAAAAAAAAATCTCAACAAAAATCTTGGATAGAGAGCTGCTCTAATACATAATTAATAGTTATGCATATTTAAGAAAAAAGTTATGAAATTAAAGAGTCCCTGGTATTAGAAGAATTTATACATATTAAACTTGAAAGGATTAATCCTTTGAGTGAAGACAGTAAAGTGTAGGAAATGGGATGACCCATACAATTGCTCATCTCATCTACAACTGCCTAAAACTGAACCAAAAAGAATATAATTAATTTTTTAACTTTTAGTCCCCTCCCAACCACAAGAATCAACAATGGATATTTCCCTCAACAATGGCTTCCAAACACCAAACTAACCACATTCCTTCAACTCAGTTGCAGGAAACTATTCTTCCAACACAATTCCAAACAACACATTGCCTTTGCTGAGTCTACTGGAGTGGCGTTTTCCCTTTCCTACATACAAACTTGGGCGGGGGCGATGCCTGATCAGAATACACGCAGGAAATATACGGGGAACGACAAAGATGCACAATGGGGAAACGATAGTATTCTTCTTCCTAGATTAAAAGAGGGCAGAAAAAGAGAAGAATAAAGAATTTTAGTACAATACTACTACAGCTTATGATGTCTAGATTCTCCTATTTCTTCAACTTTGTCGTGTATTGCTAGAGAAACGTCGTGATACCTAGAGATCAGAGTCACTTATCGGGTAATGTTGGTAGTTTCCTAAAGACATGCTTCCTGCAGCGCTCGAATATGCCATCGTATATCAAATCAAATTGGACTCCGGCCCTTTCCCGATTTATAATGAAAAGAATGTGATCACCTTCCACAATCTTATAATACCTGCATACAATGAATATGTAAAGGTAAGTCTATACTATTCCTCCATCATAGGAACACTCATCACAAGACTTTAACAAGAGTCCAAATGGCAAGAGCACAAAGTGAGCAAAAACCAGTTCTCGAATTTGCCATTGTGTTGGGCGGAGGCCGGTGAAGGGCCACCCTGCCTCTCGAAAATGTGACGGTATATAAGGAAATAAAGTTGCGCCTTTACTCTGCTTTGGCGTAGTGATAAGTGTTTGATCCTAACAAGTGGTATCAGAGCCAGATCACAGGTTCAAGTCTTTTGACATAGTGGTAAGCGCTTGATCCTAACAGAATTCTTTAGTCGAAAAATTTTCTTTGCTGCCATTTAATACTCAAAAAGGAAAGCCAAAATCTCCTAGTCACATAGCCATCTGATGGATGTTTAGTTTTGGAAAGAAAATATCCTTGTCCTAGATTACTCGTACCAAACCATTAATGAATGGTAAAGAATCTAGCATACCAGATCCCTGGTTGCAGTGGTTGGCAGTCAGAATCCTTTACAACATGCTGACTTGGGTGTTCAACGGGCAAACGAGGGTGAGTCATGGAGATAGTGTTGAGTGCTCCATCATTTTCCCACCAGTCCTCATCCCTGTGTTCATAAATCATAATACATCAAGTAAAATGAATGTCATGAAGCAAGTATGCAACTACAGATGGTTCTAGCTCAGTCATATAATTCAGTTGAGATTAAATCAAAATCCTGCAATGTTCTAATATCTCAGACAAGATAGTGTTTGAGCATATAATATATAAACATAAATGTGCAATTCAACTATCAGCTTAGGCTTTTAGTTCAGATGAAACACATGCTTCAATTTGGTATCAGAGTCACCTCCCTGCCAAAGGTCATGGTTCAAATTTTTGCATCAAAAAGACTGTGGTCCACATGTTGTTTGGAGCCCGTCAAAAGTAATCGGCTCGCACACGTGAGGGGTGTATTGAGCATATAATATATAAACATAAATGGGCAATTCAACTATCAGTTTAGCCTACGAGTGGCAATGTTCTCTAAAACGAGTTCCCTCCAAAGGAATAGGGCAGGGAAGCTCGAGAAAGAACTATAAAAACTATACGTTAAGAATGTTTCTACTGTGCAATGGAACAAAAAGATACGAGAAGCACACACCTGTAGCCTTTGTAAGGGGGCGAGACATCAGTAGGGTGTCGCCATAGGCTCATTTGCAGTACTCTGATAAACAGTAGAGGATGTATTCCAAGTATGCCGGAAGGTACTGTAACACCCATAATTTTCCTCGTGCGCTTTGTGGCATAGCTGAAGTAGTACGTGTTAGGAAATGTACGTAAGTGGCTGTTCACCTTGATAGCACCCTGGATAGTGAGGTCAGGAAGTATCCAGTCCCCGGAAGCAAATGGACCGGCATTTCCCATAAGGCAATCAACAAGACCCCAAATGCCACTTTTCTTCCAGGAGATGTTGAAATGATCAAACCCAAAATTATAGTATGCCTTCAGCCAGGGTATGTCAAACCAATCATAAATTATCACTCCAATGCGGCAAAGCTGGAGCAGGGAGATGGTTTTCAAGGATATCCCATCTTCAAGCCTGTTAACAAATTACATTTGAGTAACTAATTGTGAAATGAAATTCACAAAATAACCATTGTTAATAGAACATTCAAAGGGCCTCTCAGAAGATAAGAAAGAAGCCAAATTAAACAAAACCATTCAGAAACTCACTGCATTCCATCTTGGTAGGTTCTTGTTGTGCCATTGAAAGCTCCAGATAACGATGTTATGCTTAAGACCCAATTCTCGGACGTATTTTCATGTCCTTTGAATGCCTACAGTTAAAATAGCACATAGTTTTACCAGTGGAAAGATTGTTTTGAGTCTGATAGTTCAAGAATTGATTATAATTGAAGCATGTGCTCCGTCTCAACTAAAAGCCTAAGCTGATAGTTGGATTGCACATTAATGGCTATATGCTCAACAATTATAAGGAGACAAACCTTGTCGGCCAGCATTTGCTGCAGAACACGGGCTACTTGTGCTCCAGCCGAATGTCCCACGATGTGAATTGGATGATCCTCATCCCACTCAGGGTAGTGCCCTGAAATTTTTCAGGAGGCCAAAAAGAAATAAACAAAAGCAATATAAACATCGGTTCAATGGTATCACAAGAAGCAATTGGATTATACAATGAAGGAAAACGTATCAGGTGTATCAATTTTCAACCTTGTTCATAAATTCTTCCAAATTGAGAATGCCCACAGGCCCGGCTGTGTTCTTCCCCATAATCAACCTGGCCTCCTTTCAAATAATAGAACAATTCTCGAGCCCTGCAACATTAAACCTATCAAATATTGGGTATATTGCAAAAACATAAATAACAAAAGCCAGATAGATGATCATTTGAGGCCTTGTGCATCTCAAGTACCCACCTATCATAAACACTAGTCAATGACCCCAAATCAGGCACAAGAACCCTTTCATCCTTCTTCTCTGCCCCAGCAAAATAAGACAGGCCACCTAATCTCTACACCAAATTGAAAATCCCAGAATTCAAAAAAGCTTAAATCAGTACACAAGATAAATGAAGAATCATAATCCTAGAAAAGAAAAGCCCAAGGAATCATGGCTTACCCCTTTACCAAAACCAAAGATTCCATGTACCAGAACAATGGGAGACAAATCTTTGGAGCTGGTTGTCTTGTTTGACTCTTCTGCTCTCAACCCATTCTCCAGATTGGGCTTGAAAAACCAATCACTCAAGGCCAGAGAGAGATCACCAGCCACAGCTGTGCTGAATATGTAAAACCCATATGCCAAATGAACCACGGAGGTCACGAAAAGCTCTGCTAATTGCAGTGATAGTATCCCCCATCTTATCATTTTCATAAAATCCCAAAGATATATTTGCTTATTATCCCAGAAAGCCTTCTTCTAGACAAGAGAAGAAGACTCGTTGGGACAGAAACTCTATATCCGTCAGCAGAAAATGAAATGGAAATGGAAATGGAAGACGCAACTCGGAATCCACCAAACCCCCCCAATAATTCAACTTTCAATTCAAGTTTCTCCAAAGGGTTGAAGTTGAGCCTCGAAAGAATGGGCAGAAAAGCGAGGAATTTCGTGACCCCCTCCCTACCCTGTGAATTTCAAATGGAGTCGTTTGCTCCTATGGGTAGAAGAAAGGGGAAACAAATTTCTCAATTTTCCACAAATTTCTCGTTGGCCAACTTCACAGAACACAGAAATTGACCAATAAACAATCGTTTTCTTGTAAAAAATGGCTGGTTGGATATGGGGACGAGAGGCCCCCACCTTATATTATATGCTTCTGAAAATTCGTGCCCCTACGAGTTTTTAACCGAACAAACAGACAGGGTGTATACTGTATTTTGATGTTTTTTAATTCTACACTTTTCCTTCACCATATCACACGCTTTCCATGTTGTTTTTGTCTTGTCGCGTTGTGTACACTAAGAATTTTGGCAAGCTCTTTCGTGGGATTATCTCACGGTTTTTAATTTATGAGACGAGTCAGATAATAAGAATGAAAGTATTATGATATATATATATATATATATATATATAATTTTTTTTAATATATAGATTTAGTAATATTATTTCTTACAAATTATTTATAACACTTTTGTTATAAAGTATTATATATAAGGTTTAAAATATTGATCATATATGTAGCTCTGCTTGCAATGATATTTTATTTCTTGCAAATTTCTCTATTATAGTTTTCTATAAAGTATATATTATATATAAAGTTTAAAATATTAAAAATATCTACAATTATATTATGTTATTAGTTTATTTCCCGTAAAAACTAGACCTGGCAATTCGTGTATACGGGTGCGTTAACGGGTTGACACGATAACGACACGAACACGATATGGTTGAACACGGACACGATACATTAAGGTTAACGGGTTCAAATTTTTAACACGAATACGAACATGATTTGTTAAAGGGTTAAACGGGTTGACACGATAGACACATTTTATTAACAGATTTTAGGTCGTGTCGACACGATATGACACGAAACCCGTTTAAACTCGCTAAACCTATTAATATTTATATTTTTTAAAAAAACTAAAATTTAAAGTTAAGTTATATATATATATATATATATATATATATATATATATATATATATATATATATAATAAATAAAACCTACCATTCAATCTATCAAACAAACTAAAAAAATATTCAATTTATAATATTCATAAAATGATAAAATAACGTCCAAAAATCTTCATTAAAGAAGTCAATGCTAGTTTTTAGAATAAAATTAAACATAACAAAAATTCAAATTTCATTTTGTTGAACATCAATAGTTGGTGTAGGATCTTGGTCTAATGTTGTAAATTCATCCTTAGTCATGTTCATGATATCTTTGGTAATAAGGTTTTGGAAGAATGATATCTTTGGTAATCTTATTCATGACAATGATTCTTAGCGGGTTATAAACAGGTTTGTGCAAACAGGTTCGTGTAAATGGGTTAACACGATAATATTAACCGTTTAAACAGGTTCTTAATAGGTTTAACGGGTTGACCCGTTAAGACACGAAACATAATGGGTCCTTAACGGGGTCAACCCGTTAACGACCCGGAACACATTAAGGCTAAACATTAACCCGTTATTTCCGTGTCTTGTTAACGGGTCGTGTCCATAATTGCCATGTCTAATAAAAACACTAAAATGTGTATTACATTTACTATAAAGTACTACATTTATATTATAAAGTATTATAAGGCTTAAAGTATTAATCATACATGTAATTCTATTGTGTTGTTATTTTATTTCGTGCAAATTAAATTGTCTATTATAGTTTTGTTATAAAGTACTCCGTACTATATTTATAATATAAAGTATATTATATATAAGGCTTGAAGTATTGATGATACATACAATTCTGTTATGCTATTACGTTATTTCCTACAAACTTTCTACTATAATTTTGATATAAAGTACTACATTTATGATACAAAGTATATTATATATAAGGCTTAAAGTATTGATTATATTTGTAATTATGTTATGACCCATTTTTATTAAATCTAATCTGTATCATAGATTGAAACCCGTGTGACGGTCTCAGAAATAAAATGTTTGTTACTTATAAAGGAAAACGTAATACTTTTATATTATATTTCGATGTAAAAGTATTAGTTTTTTCATCAAAAGTATTATATTTTCCCTTATAAGTAATGTTGCACTTATAAAAGAAAATGTAATACTTTTGATGAAAAATATAATACTAATACTTTTACATCAAAATATAAAAGTACTATTATTACATTTTTTCATATAAGTAATAAACATTTTATTCTTGATTTAGTATTACATTAGCTAGTATAAGTATTACATTTCATATTGACCCGATCCGTCTCACGAACAAATATCCGTGAGAAGGGTCTCAAACAAGTTATTGTCTTGAATAAATAAGTTTAAAATAACCAATAAATAACAATAATTTTATTGTCACATCATATAGTTATGAATTTTGATAAAAATTTCTTATTATTACAACTTCATCATTTAATATTACCGATATTCTTTTATTCAAATTTGTCGCACAAAATTTTCTAAGTGCAATATAACTCTTTTCTGTGGATATACACCTTCAATTTTATAAAAATGGTTAAATTAATTGTAATCCTAACTGCAAACAAAAAAACTTTAAGCCAAACTCTCTTATAATTTCTCATAACTATTAAATATTTATTCTACTTTTGAACCAAATATCCTCTTAAACATGTTGGGAATGAATTGTGTGGTCTATATTTAAATAAAATTTATCCACAAAATTGGGGAGAAGATAGTGAAAGACTGAAAGTTTGAATATTTTATGCGCCACATTGATTTTAGATAAAGATTCTAGACGTTTCCGTGAGGTGGACAGGGTTGCAGCTGGAAAGATCCTGGCTTTATGTTACTTTATTATTATAATTATTATTTTTGAGTACTTTATTATTATTATTATTATTATTATTATTATTATTATTATTATTATTATTATTATTATTATTATTATTATTATTATTATTCCGTACTATTATTATTATTATTAAAGCAAACAAGGTTCCAGCGAATTGACTTCATTGGATATTCTTAGTCACATGAATTCATCCTCACACCTATTTTAAAGGTTAAATACTATTATATTTTTTTTTTGAAACAATTATTATATAATTATTATTATTGATCATTCATATTTTCAGTGAAGCGGCTTCCCGAATTATATTTTGAGTCTCATTATGAGATAGATAAATTGAGTTTAGGGTTTATTCTAAACTCAAATCCAATTTCTCAATGTTTATAATAGGAATCAAATTTCACCTTATCATTAAAGGTAAATTTTAAATAAAATTTCTCATTTACTAAAATAATAATAAACTATTATTGCATTTACGAATAGTTCGATTGATTTTTGAGTAGTAGATTATGAACAATAGCACATAATTAATTTATAACAGTCACAGTGTGAGAGTTACACTTAATGTGATAAGTTCTTTGACACTTAATGAGCTGATTTACTATAATTTATTCTTTCCTTATCTTGTTGAACCAAAATATGTACTTGAGAGGGTGAGAAAGTTTCACCTTTTATTGACAATGGTACATTTTATTTTATTTTATTTTTTTTGCTACACAAAAATTAACCAACTAAACAACGGCCACCTGTCGAGCCACATGGCGCCTTATCTTCACAAAATCATTAATTAAATCACCGTATCTTCCTACACCTCATTTCTACGTGCCCTCTGTCCCCTATGATTTTGCTCTATTTTCTATCCAAACAAAAAGAAAATCATTTTCTATAAATAGATATCTACTTTATAAGATGATGAGTATTAGTTTGATATTAAAGAAAGATACAGGATAACTTTCAGTTAATACCCAATATAGCTATCCAGGACCAGGATTCATAGTATATTATGGACTATGGTGCATGTGTATGTGTCTTATATTATAAGTTTTTTGTGTTTTGTGTTATGAAATTCTATACTTTAAAGAGTATGAATTCTGTATCTGAAACAAATTATTAATTTTGTCTTATGTTATAAATTTTTGTGTCTTGTGTTGTGAAATTCTGTGTCTATAAATACAAATTATGTAATTAAATCAGATTTGAAAAATAAGTAAATATATAACATGTGTATGTGTCTTGTGTTATGAAATTCTGTACCTCGCCGTTTTGGTCCGAAGTTCATAATGCTATGTGAACCCTAGTTCATGATATAAATTGTCCTAATATAATCCTCGACTATAATGATTTTACTCGATTTAGTCCTAAGTGACTTTTTGTGTTTAATTTAGTCCTCGACTTTAATGATTTTACGTAATTTAGTCCACTGTTAGGAGTTTCGTTTGTTAGCTGTTAGTAACATGGTTAACATGGTAATTTTCCTTCCCTTTATTTTTTGTCAAATTAGTCTTCTAATTTGCCCCCTCTTCTTCGTAACAAGCCCTAGAAATCTAAAAGCATACAGAACCCAACAATTGTTGACAAATTGGAAGCAAACGCACTGGAATTGAAGCTTGTTACGCCAAACGGAATTACCATGTTAACCTTGATGTTAACAACCAACAAATGGAATTCTTAACAAAGGATTAAATTACGTAAAATCATAATCAAAGTCGATGACTATATTAAGAACAAAAAGTCATTTAAAATTAAATCGAGTCAAACCACTATAGTCGAAGATTATATTGGATATTAACTCGTATAATATTAAACTAAACTATTTAGGGTATTGTACATGAATTTGAACAACAGACCACAATTTCGAGCCTTGAAAAGCATTTACATTTTTTTTTTTTTTGTTAATGCTGACATGGGTTGAAAGTTTGCAACACTTACAAAAGACTACTGCAACTGCAGCTGTGACAACCTTTTTTACTTTTTATTTTTTTATTATTT